GGGCGTTAAAACCTATGTTAGGTAAATTTAATATTTTTTTTTAAGTAATTCTTTGCGACTTATTAATATATTGAAATGAATATTTTCAATTTGATCAGCGCACCAATTGGAATTTCGGCCAAACCAGAGAATTGCTTATTCTTACCGGTTCCATGTGATGTTAAATATTTTGATGCTGAGCGCAGTGGACGTTAGTGGTCTAATTTAATTTTGATTTCATAAAAGAATGGTGAATGTCTCAAATACACTAAATTCCATTAATCATTTAATTAGTTGATCTACTCGCTTCCGCGAAAGATCAGTCAGGTCGCTCAACTTCTCTCATTTCTGATATGGATAACCTTGAAAAAACGATTTTGGTTGTTCAAGAGATGTTGGAGAGAGTTTCAGAATATGTAAATAAAGTCTTAGTAAGTACGAAAACTTTTATTATAAATAATTTTTATATCTTATGCTGATTTCTAAATTTAATGATTTTTCCCAGGATGGAAGTGTACCTGCAAATAATAAAATTGGGAGATTTTTAATGGATACAATTTCTGTTGTACCAAAGATAGATAAGGCAGAATTTGAAAAAATGTTTAATAGTCATCTACAGGTCCGTATAAAAATAACATTTTGCACATGTCATTACGTTTTATGGCGTAATATTAATTTTAATAATATATAACTTATTATAGGATTTATTAATGGTTGTTTATCTTGCCAACATGACGCGTACTCAACTCGCTATCGCAGAAAAATTACAGCTTCTTGTATAGGGATGGTAAAGTTAATTTAGGATTGATTTAGGTTTTAAACCCTTTAGATTCCAAATTAAACCTGGTTTGGTTCAGAACCGAATTTTAAAATCTGGTTCTCAATATTTTGTAACGCATAAAAAATAAAAGTATTAATAAAAAGCTAATTTATATCAAACTTTTAGAATATATATGTTGATCTTCTGAACAGTGTTAATTTTTTAGTTAAAATTTACTGTGCGGATACCGCACAATTTGGAAATTTTGCTGTGCGGCAAATAAAGGAAAACTATAAGCAATTGTTTACAAGTGTGCGCAAAGACGTCCAAAATCATAACTCCTCAATGAATATTTAAAAATTTGCAAAAAAAAATTCGTAATATTATGGTTTTCGTATGTTCTACAAAGCTACGATTTTTTTTAAAAAACATAATATGATTTTAATGTGGCTCCAAATAAGGAAATTTGAAAAATGGGTCGGTAAAATTGATCCCAATCGACTAAGTTGGGTTTTACAACTAATCGATTATCACTACTTTGACCATATCGATCGATATTTTTGTCACATGACTATTGATGATCCGAGTTTTTTAAACCATGGGCCTTTTTAAAGTACAACTTCCCTGTTACAGCAGTTACTTAGATAGGTAAGTCACGGGATGTAAGTTTCTATCTGTAGTAAGCCTATAATAAAAATAGGTTCGAAAA